ATATATGTATTTATTTATGATAAATTCTTTATAAAATAAATATAATATAAAATCTCTCGTTATGAATGATAAAATTATAAAAGTTTTTTAATAAAAATTTTTTTTATTTTTTAATTAAAAGCGAAATACATTACGACTGTAAATATGTATATTTAATGGGATTTTCGTGTAGTTATGTAGTGTTTATTTTATTTATTTTCTATGTAATAATCCTGTGGATCTTGAGAATGAAGTATACCACGGTTTAAGCATTCTTTTTGTATTGTATTTATAATGGACAATATTTCATTGGTTTGATTTATTTTCGTGGGATAAGGCAAACGTATTGTATGAGCGATCTGCCAAGGGAGATGCAAGGACGTTCTATGAGAAACTGGATCCCATTTAAGTGTTAGACGTGTGAAGATATGGAAAGCTGACCCTATTTCGATTACAATTTGAAATAATTGTTAATAACAGGAAAAGTGTGATGTCCAGGTGCAAGACACTACTAAACTTAAGTGCATTGTGACGAAGTTACAATAAACAATTACACATCAGGAGTTAGACGTGTGAAAATATAGGAAACTGGACCCTATTTAGGTGTTAAATATGTTAAAAAAAACCCGGAAAACTTTACGCGACAAGCCTGTCGATGAAGTGTGATCGGTGTTCAGTTGTTTTATCCACTCGGCTACTGGTGGATCCGATATTGTATTGAATTTTGTATATCTCAACTGATGTGATTAGTGTTCAAACATTAGACATTTTTGAGGAAGAATGGATTATTATTAAAATTGTAGATATATTTTTCGAGCAAAATGGATAACTATTAAAATAATGGATGTATTTTTGGATAAACTGGAGCATTTGGAGCACTGGCTACATTTTGAGAATAAAAGAGACGACTGTTTAAAAATTGGATGCAATTCGGGATTAAGATAGATCCTTGATAAAACTGTGGATATATTGCTCTTGAGTTAAAATAAATCACCAGTGATATATTGAATACGGTATATTTTTTGAGATAAAATGGATCATTATTTAAATAATGGTACGTTTTAGGGGTTAAAATGGATTACTTTGATTTATCATTGAATATATTTTAGGGAAAAAATGAACCCAGTAACAGTATGTATTTTTGGATTGATATCGATTACTATTGTAACATTTAATGTAATTTTTAGTATCAAATGAAGCATCAACTCAATAATTAAATTTCTGGAAGGAATGGATCGCCAGTATTCAAACGATAGGCATATTTTTAGAGTAAAATGGATCACTGTTCAACTATTGGATAACTTTCTGAATGAGATTTATCATTATTAAGTGTGCATCTTTATGGAAAGCTTGACAAATTATCTTCTATTTCAGTATTAATTGCTATATTTTCATTAAAAATCATTATAATATTAATGTTAAATGTTTAAATTTTCTTCATAATATAAATTTATTAAGGAGGAGTAGAGTCTGATCAAGGATCTGGTTGAAGGAAGGAAATGAGAAAGAAGATAAGAGGAGAGAAGATGGGATGAATCAAAGAGTATGAAAATATCATTCGAGATTTAATATAAAATTTAAAAAATTATGAACAAAATATTCTTTATCTTAACGTAAACATGAATTAAAATGTTTATTTTTAATTAATATTATTTACTTTTAATCATA